AAGCTAAGCAGAGTCGGGCCTGGTTAGTACTTGGATGGGATAAGGGGGCAACAAAGGATGAGCATGGTTGGATGGCATCAGCAACTCAATGGACATGAGTTTGAGCAATCTCCGGGAGTTGCTAAAGGACAGGGAAGCCTGGTATGCTGCAGTCCATGGGGTCACAGAGTCGGACACAACTGAGCAACAATAACAGACATGAGCCCCTCTTGGATAAGCTCTTAGAAGGGTAAAATAAGTTATATCTGCAAAGAATCCCCAGTACAGGATCTGGCATATGGTATCTGGTTCAATATAGTCTTTCTTTTCAAAGCTGATGCCAGGCAGCTTTCTGTTCAGATGACAGGGGTAAGCTGTTAGGGACACATGCCTGGAACAATATCCCCTATTGGTAGGTACCCACAAAATGTTTAAGAAGGGTCAATGATTCTCAGTGTAATTGGGAAAAAGAACCAATCAGCTGGGGTTTATTACAATCCCAGACTTCTTGGCCTATCCCTTAATTCCCAACTCTGGAGGTCTGGTGCAGGGTCCAAGAAGCTGAATTTTCCAAAAATACCCCATAAGTGGTCAAAGAACCACACCCTCAGAAACCAACCCATCTATTCATGAGTCTTTACTAAGCGGCTATGATATGCCAGGTCAAGATTAATCTTTTTTGTAGGGACAGAGAAAGAATAAGAAAAGTCTGTGCCCTCGCGGAGTTTACTTTTTAGTGAGTGTAGAAAATATCAGGTACACAAGTAACTGTAGACAGCCAGTGACAGGTGTTGTAAAGAAAATAAAGCAAGTAGGCAGGGGACACGGAATGAGCTTGGGTGGCAGGGGGGGCCTCTGAGGTCACTGAGGAGTGATAGGAAGGAGCCAGCCAGTAAACTAGTATCCAGATGGATCATGATTTTTCCCCCAACCTCTCCCTCAACACAGGCCCTGCTCCAAGAGTATCTCCAAGGAAACCAACTCTACAACAGTGATATCCCCTCCTTTATTATCAAGGCCTTCAGAGCCAGGACAGAGAAGATTGCAACGGGGATCTTGACAGCCCCTTCTCTCCCAGCCACGGTACCCACAGGCTTCCTCCAGCCAGGGGCAGAGGTCTGAAACCCTGCCTCTTGGGAACCCTGGCCCCTATCCTACCTCCCTTACTCAATTCCCTAAGATCTCAGGCCAAGCCAGATCCCAGGGCTGAGCCAGCAGGTGTGACAATGCCCAGTCCTCAGTCAGCTCTCCTGGGACCCCCGAAGCACTGCCCATGTGGGTGGGGCCTCCTGAGCATCCTTCCTGATTTGAAGTCCATGTCCTTGGCGATTACAGGGGTGGGAGGACTGGTCCCCAGGATTACGGAGAACGTCATATCATCAAAGAGGATGCCCAACCCCCTTCCCAGCAGTTTGGATGACACAGTTGGAAAGATGTGAGCCTGGGCCCTCCTCCTAGGAAGAGACTGGGCAGCCGCGTGGCACAGTGAGACTCCCAGGGCAGGTGGGCAGCCAGGGGCTGGAGGTTCCAGGGTCACTTCCTCTTGGCCCGATCTGCCGCGTCCAAGGCAGCCATGTTGCGGGCAGCTGTGATCAGGTGGATGACGCTGATGAGAGACTTGAGCAGGGCGATAGGGGCGGTGATCCAGAGGCCCATTCGGAAAAGACCCACTGAGCCAACTGTGGGAAGGGATCAAGGGTGATCCAGAGAAAACAGGATGCAGGTGAGGCAGGGGTCTTGTCTCCCCGGGCAGGCCAGACCCCCTCCCATCCTCCTACCCAGTCCTTCATCTCCTACCTAAAGGTCCCTCGGAGAAATTAAACAGGTAGAGGAGGCAGTAGAAGAGCTCGTTTCCAGCACACAGGGTGAACAGAGCAGGCTAAACAAATGGAAAAAAGGCTGCTTGAGCAAGAGGGCAGGGCAGTGGCTCCCATCCTCCAACTAAGGGCCAGGGGACCAGGAACTGGGAAAGAGGGGTGCAGGGTGGTGTGGGGAAGATGTGGGGAACAGGGCAGATCAGTCTGCCCAAGGCTCCTCACTTTCCCCTTCAGCCTGGAGCCATGGGCAGTACTCCTCATAAGGATATGCACAAACAGGAAGATATTCTTACCCAGCAATGCTGCAATTCTCACCCTCCTTGCCCTACCTGGAGGTACTAACACTGCCCAGCCCACCCACGAGGAAGAATACACTCCTTATTATGGCCTAAGGCCTTTAGAGAGCTGGTTCTGCAGACCTCTCTGGCTTCTTCCTCCTTCCCTCACCCCTCAAGCCACTCAGTTCTTCCCTCCTGTGGACACCTGCTGCCTGAGCAATTCACACACACCCTTCCCACCAATCCCATCCAGGGCCCAGGGCTGGGGCTAGGACTTGCCCTAAGCAAATAGGGAGGGGCAGCAAAGGCTCACTCTGGAGGTGTAGTAGATGCGAAGCACCAGGTTTCCAGACAGGTCGATCATCTTGTGACTTTCACTGCCTCGGACCACAGAACTTAGGGAGAAAGTAGAGGGGGAATCCATGAGTGTGCATTACCAGGAATGCCCACCGAATCCTCAATGCAACCCCCATTACATAAGTACTGGGATTGCCTCTGCTGAACAGAGGGGGGACTGGGGCACAGCTGAGGAGCACTGGGCCAGAAGTCACAGTCTAGCTGGGTAGCTGGAGGAAGCAAAATCAAGATTCAAAAGCCCCATCCCCCTTCCGAAGGGATGTTATCTCTTTGGAATCCTCAGAAGAGTTTTAAAGATTACTAAGCCAGCTGTAAAATAGGATGCTGAGTCAGAGAAGATTCACCAGACTCCCTTAACAAAGCACAGCTAAAAAGGAGACCTCCCCAGAAGCCTGAAGATACCCCCTGAGAAGGTCTCATCCCTCCCCCTGTAGCGTTTTCTTCCACTGGTCCATATCCCCAGAACTTCAGACCTGTGGAGGTGCAGCCAGTGGCTGGCCACATCTAAGCTCATGCTGAGCTGGAAGAGAAGGGTGGCGCGAGGGTACAGCAGGGCCAGGTTGACCAGCAGACACATCGTGGAGCACCGGTCTGTCAGCATGTCCAGCATGGCCCCAAACCGGGTCCCTGAGAAAAATAGTGGAAAGGGGCTGTCAGGGGACAGAGGAGCTGTGACAGGGGCCATATTTGGTGAATCACTCTGATGCAGAGGGTAAGAGTGAAAATGCCCACCATCCACTGGGGGGAAATGAAAGCAGACTGCTCTGGCTGGAGTGTAAAGGTCAAAGGGCAAAGGTCACCATATCATAAAAGGGGGAAGCCTGGTAGCCTGGAGACAACATTGTAGAAGGGCCTGAGAAAGCTAGCTAGCTGTACAACTCATCAATCCAGAACCAAGGGTCCAGGTCTCAAGACAAGAAGATTTTAAGTCTTAGGGAAGTCTTAGAGGTGGGTCTAAGAACAGATTATAAAAAATGAGGTCAACCTTCCAGAAACTATCTCCCTTCCTTCTCCATCCTCCCTCTAAACATGCCTTCTGGAATGCTGATCGCTTGTGTCTGGCACACAGCAGATGCCCAATAACCTGTTGACTGGCTTTTTATTCAGAAAAGCCTCTAGCACTGCTACTGCCACTGCCATGCCCAGTCGCGCTCGTTCTCAACAGGGAGCTTCAATCCCTTCTGCTCCAAAACCAGGTCATTCTAAACTGCCTTCTACAGAGATGGGAATGACAGAGCCCTCGGATTCCCGACTACCCGCCCACCCCGAGGTCCTGAGGAAGCAGGAAAATGGGAGCAGAAGGTTGTGGGGCTGGCTGGGAGAGATGTCTGTCACCTTGATTAAGGACCCGAGCAGCGTGTCCATCGAAAGCGTCCAGAAGTCCGCTGAGCAGGTAAAAGGAGGAGGCCGTGAGTGGGCAGCAGGGCATGAAGTAGAAAGAAATGATGGCGAAGACAATCCGAGCATAACCTTGGAATTGAGACAGGGTGAGACAGGGCAGATCTGGGAGTCTGCCCAAGGCCCCTGGCCCTCCCGTTCCGCCCGGAGCCGCGGGTAGCACTCACCGATGAGGTTAGGCACAAACAGGAAGATATTTTCGCTTGCCATCGCGGAGGTCCCCTGGCCGCTCTGGGCCTTAACTGAAGGTGCCAACTCTGTCCCAGCCTGGGTGCAGATTCACTCTCCAGCCCGGCGCATCAGCCACGCCCACTGCGCGCAGGTCCCGGCCGGGTCCCAGATGTTCAAGCTCACCGCCGGCCGGGGCATGGGCCGACCCAGCTGTGCGCCGGGCGCAGGGGGCGCGCACACCCTGCCTTTCCTATGGGCAGACGCTGGCCTCCGCCTGCCTCGCGGGAGCTGCCGCCTACAGCTGCGGCCCCTGCTGCTCCAGCTGCGCTCGGCTTCCGGAACCTACTTTCCTACGTTTGTCCTTGCAAAATTAGAGAAAGGAACAAGAGACTTAAGAAATGGCTGCGTCCCCTTTAAGATCTGCCCGCTTCCTTTTCCTTTTCTTCCCTCCGCCCCTTTCCATCGATTCGTACCAAAGTACAGAGGGAGGAGAGGGGGCAAAGAATCATCGACTCTGAGCAAAGGAAGGAACTTAAAAGGAGAGATCAAAAGATAACGAGGCCTAGGTAGATGTCTCTACTTTCTTTTCTGCGGAGGATGTTACTCCTGAACATAATGGCAAAAAGATCCCGCCATCCAGAGTCTTTGCACCCCCAAGAGGCAAAGTTATTTGGTACAGCCCATATTTTCCCTTCCCCGCCCCCTCTCTCGGCCCTCATTTGCTGTCGCAGGCTCCAGGCAAAGAGATGACGGCCAGAGAGGCTGGAAGGCGACCTGGGGCGGGGTTGTTTCTCGCCTGCCCCTAGTGGTGGGAGGATTAGGTGCCAAGGTCCACCGTCTGTGATCTTCCCGTTTCTCAAGCCACTGGCCCTGCGGTCAGTGCCCGCAAGGAGAGATCTAGAGAGGGTGGAGAAGCCGGGGAAGCGAATGCGACCAGCTGGGAAAATGCCCTCCCCCATTTGGTTCTAGAATCCTTAATTTCCTGGCAACGGGGCTGCGGAACGTCCTCAGACGCCAAGGTTTTTATAGCAACGGCGCCTCTCCGGGTTCCCCTCTTTCCAGCCTTCCTCCCCAGCTCCCAAATCCCCCGTCCCCACGGCCCGTAAAAGGGCTCGTTAGACCTCTCCGTCTCCCCTCCTGAAGAGTAGCCCAAGATTTCGACACATCTGCTAGGTCGGGGGCGGCAAGTGGGCTGCCTTTTCTTGGGAAGGACCTTGGGTGGGAAGAAGGAAAGAGAGGGCCCCTGCTGGGCGAAGTAAGGGGTAGGGGAGGTGGGTGTTGTGGGCGTCCCACCTCCTTCCTCCCCTAGGAAGATTTAAAGCAACTATTTCTCTCCCCCAGCTTTTTTTTTTTTTTTCCTTCAGAGAGAGAACTGACAGTTTTCCAAGGCCCCGGGGAACAGTGGTGGGTTGGGGTTGGGAGAAGTGAGCTGGTTTTGCAACCTAACTCGGGCTCCCACTGTCCCCAGGGGAATGTCATCCACTTTTGCCAGGAATGAGGAGAAAAAGGGCAGCCGGCCATCCCAACCCACAACCCCTGCAACCTCACTGGGCTGCAATCTGGTGAGCACTGGAGAGGCCTTCTTGGAGTGGGGGTGAAGTGAGGTGGAGCGTGCTTAGGCTGAGGACACTGAGACCGCCAGCCTTCAGACTCTGGCCTCAACCCTGAGCCCAGAGCCCCCAGTCTAGAAACCTCCAGACCCGGCCATGTGGGAACTCTGAGGCTGAACCCCCCAACTTTCCCTTTTCCAGAAGGTTTCTCGCTCTGAGGAATTCCTGACACGGATCAGCACGGAACTCACTGACGAGGCCTTGTTTGTTGCTGCCTGCCACATGAATCCTGTGCCTATCAAGGAAAAACAGACACAAGACCAAGGGACTCAGATATCCAAACATGGTGACTCCCCACCTGAGGACCCCTGTGTCCAGAGACCCGCTCATACCCCCAGTTCCAGTCCCTGAGCCCCCCAATGCACCCGCAGTTGACCTCTTCAGGAGTCTGTCCCCGGCTCCCCCATCTCACAGCAGCCCTGGGACCACACAGCACCTCCCCACCTGTTCACCCAGTCCCCGTCCGTCACCCCGACCAGGAATCTCCTTAGCCCCTTCCTCACTAGCCACATCTCTTTCTGGCTATCGGGATAGTACTTTCTCTGACTGGGGCCTCTGTTTCCAGTGTTCTTCACCAAGACCCGAGGCACTGATACCCGGTGAGTGAGGCTTCGCAGGAGATGCCCTTTGTCCTGGGAGAAAGATGAGGAGCCTGTAGGGGAGAGAGCCAGGGTTTGACAACATCCCAGCAGGGTAGGGAGATTTTACACCATATTCCTGTTCTCTTCTGCTCCAGTCCTTGACTTGAGTTCTCACCTCTCTCCTTTCCCTTCCGCCATCTCTAGCTCTGACAGAAACCGTACCCACACGAAGGCACATCTCCTGCCATCCCCTCGTGAGAAGGTATGCGCTGGGTCCAGGGATGACAAGGCCATACAGAATAACCATACAGTTAGAGTTCACATCATATACAGTCCCATTTTTAGGAACTTGGGACACAAGTGAATGACAGTCTCTGCCCTTGAAAATTCACAGTTTAGTGTGGGGCCAGTCAAGTAAATGGCCAATTACAACAAATATGGTTAAATGCCCATGACAGAAATGGAAATAGCGAGAAGAGCACTTACTCTCAGCCTCAGTTGGGACAGGAAGGAAAGGAATCATGGAGCTTCCTGGAGGAGGTGACACTGAAAGAAAGGAATTTCTAGGGGAAAATGAGGTGGTCGGGGTATTCCAAGTGGTAGGACTTGTATGAACAAAGGCACAGAGGTGAGTCTCAGGAGGATGACCATGGGTATAATTGTGTATTCTTTTTTGTTGAAATTAATTTTTTTTTTTGCTGCACCAGATCTTAGTTGCGGCATGTGAGATCTAGTTTGCTGACCAGATATTGAACCTGGTCAGGGCCCCCTGAATTGGGGGCACAGAGTCTTAGCCACTGGACCACCAGGGAAGTCCCTCTGTGTGTGTCCTTTAGGGCAGGGGAGACAGTGGAGCAGAAGCAGTTTTACTGCTGGACTGTGCAGGCATGGTACCCAGGGACTAATCAAGGGACTTTATGTGTGTTTTGTTAAGATCCAGAGATGTTTTCCTACAGGTGAGGAGTCATTGAAGAGTTTTGAGCAGGGGAAGTTGAAATTTTAGATCCGTCACACTGGTGGTCAATGGGGAGAGTGAACTGGAAAGGGAAAGATGAGAGGCTGGAAGGTCAATTAGGAATTGGAGACCAAACTAGAGATGAGTAGTTCCTGCATATTCACAATAATAATAGAGATGAGAGAAAGGGTAGATATGAGTAATAAAGACCAGGAAGAATGAGTTTGGTAATTGATTTAAAAATGGTAGGGGAAAAAAGAAGGAATCAGAGGACTCCCAGTTTTCTGACTTGGGATGTCTACGTCTGATGATGCCATGCTTCTGCCCAGAGCTCTACAGTAAGTCTCCATTCCAGAGTCAAAGCCAAAGTTCTTCAATGGCTTACAAAGTCCTACACGATCTCTCTCCTCCGCAACCCTGTTGTCTCTCTGACCTCATTGCCCCTGACTGCTCCCCTTTTCCCAGTCTCACCAGCCTTCTCATTCTTCCTGGGGCATGACAGGCATGATGCCACCTTTGGACAGATTGTGTTTGAGGGGCCCCTGGGAACTCCAGGTGGAAATACCCTGTAGACAGTTGGAAATGAAGCTTCAAAGAACACTGGCGAGGTCTAGGCTGGTGCTAGAGATCTGATGTAGGAGAGGGTTGGCAGTTAAAGAGTGTGCAGTTGCCCTGGCCGTGGGGGTGGAAGAGTTTGTGCAGAATGAGAAAGACAAGGGCGCTGAGGTTGGAGCCCTGGAGAACCTCTGCAAGAGGTTGGCGGAGAAGAGAGGGGTTCATGAAGAAGGCAGAGGAGGAACTAAGAGCAGATGTTTATTGAGTGTCTATTATGAATGGGGAATGATGGATAGATTTGTGGGTGGATAGATGGATGGGATGGATGGATGGATGGATGGATAGATGGATGGAAAGAGAATGGTGGGTGGATGATAAATGGGTAGGTGGGAAATGGTGGGTGGATAAATGATTGACGGCAGGGATTGGATGGATAGGTGAAGGATGGAAGGATAAAAAGACATGCGCCTTGGATCTAAAATCAAGACTCCTATTCTTTTCTAGGGAGCTCTGCCCAGCAACTTGACGGCTGGAGGATGATCCCAACTTTGGTGCTGCTCTTGGCCTCTCGTGCCCTCCCCCCACTCTGTCTCTCTGCAACATGTCAAAGCTCCTCTTTCACCGCTCATTCAACAGTTCGGTTCTGGGGGCGTTCCTGGTCGTGAGCAACATCACCCCTGAAGCCTCCAAAGTGTTCCAGAGCCATCAGACACCTTGCCACCCTCAACTGGCCAGGACACCACCAGCAATGAAAAGCTTTAATAAAGAAACAGAGATCCTTCCCTCCTCTCAACCTAGGCAGTGCTCTTGTGTGACTTCTCTGGGGTGATGTGGAAGGAGCACCACTGCCCCCTTTTGCCAGATGTATGGGCATATTATTGGAATGGCATATTCCATATTATGGGAATGGCTTTAATTCAGGCAGTTATCAACCTATTATCCATCAGCCTGTTGGCAGAGATGAGTTCAAAGGTTCAGATCCATTTTCCCAGCCACACTCCAGCATCTTAAGGTCTAGGCCTGTGACATCTGAGAGATTCCACCCCTGCCACCAGCGTCAGTGTGGAGGTCTCTCCTCTGCGCTTTGGAGCCACCTGGCTTTGGAACACCTCGTGGTGGAAGGCAGTGCTGGAGGCTTTGTGAAATTTGCATTTAAATCTCAGTCTGGCTACTTTTTGGAGCCTCCTGAGGAATTTACTGTCAGTTCACATCTCCAAGCCCCTGTTTCCTTATCTGAAAAATGGAAATAATTGTCCCTGCCTCACGAGGACCTTGTGAGAGTTAAAAACATAATTGTATGCATAGTGCTCATCACAATGCCTGGCTCAGAATAAATGCCCCCAAACTTTAGTGTTTATCAAGGTCAGTTTGCTTCGTGTTCTCCTAAAATTCAGTCCTCTTTTGAGTGTTCTAAAAATGTTTCATTATATTTAGTTATAAAATTTTAATTAAGGAAAATTCAGTTGATTTGGAGAAAGACTTTAAGACAAACTGCTTATAAATTCCCTATAATGCCCAAGAGTAAAGAAAAGGACACCCATAGGATACAAAACAAGCTCATTGTTTAGGAAAGGCTGCAAATCTAATACTTGGTATACATGTAACAGCAGATATGCTTAAAATGCCAAGAAGACTGGGGGGGAAAGAATGGTACACTTGGGTTTATTACAAGAATTCTCAAGAAGGGGCTGACTTTTAGGTCAACTGGCCGTGAAACAAATTGAGTGCTCTTTCCCACCTGTCAAACAGTAAGAGGTGGGCTTCCCAGGTGGGGCTAGTGGTAAAGAACCCACCTGCCAATGCAGGAGACGTAAAGGACACAGGTTCAATCCCTGGGTAGGGAAGATCCTCTGAAGGAGGGCATGGCAACCCACTCCAGTATTCTTACATGGAGAATCCTATAGACAGAGGAGCCTGGCGAACTACCATCCATCGGATCGCAAAGAATCAGACACAACTGAAACCACTTAGCAAGCATGCATGCATGCAAACAGAGATGAGAGGCACCTACTGCCAGCTATGGCCCAGCCTGAAGAGCCTGGAATGCCAAGCCCAGTAGAGAGATATCTGAGGCCAGGAGGGGACCCAGCTTGTGCTCCAGAGGCTGAGCCTAAAGCCAGGCTTTTTGATCCCAGGCCAGCCTCTTCAACACTGCCCTGTTTGCAAACTTAAACTTCCATCTTTTCCCCAAATTGTTCCTCTCTCCCCAGCCCTTTCTCCAGGGAGACCACTATCACCATCTCCAGTGCTCTGTGACCCACTTCCCACACCCCACCAGCCCAGTTACAAATGGTGATTTTCTGTTTATTGCTCAAAAACAAAAATCCAGAAGCAAAGGTGGGGAAACTATGGGGAGGGGGCATGGCAGGAAAGGGGTAGGGATCTTATCCCAGCTCTCCGCTTCATCCCTTTTCCTCTGACCCTCCAAGGGTTAGAGGTTAGGCCGGGGCCAGAGCAACTGGGAAGGACAGAGCCTTCCTGGCCAAGGGAACAGCAGAGCTCTTGGGTATAGTCCCTGTGGGGTGCCCTGGGCTGGAGACGCCCCAGGAGTTGCAACCGGGACTGAATTCCCCTCCCAGGGTCCAAAAGCAGGTAGAGTCAAGGGGGCAGGCCCCTTGTTTGGCAACTGAGAAGAGGAGGCTTTGGGCACAGGATGCTGGTTTATTTACTGTAGGGTCCCCAGGGCCATCAAAGCCCCCTTGTGGGACTAGGAGACTATTTACACAGCAGGGAGGAAGGAAGCCGGAGACCAGGTCCTGTGCTCCTTCCTGCCCAGAATGAGGAGAGGAAGGGCGTCCTGGATCCTGCAGCCTTTGTCTCGGTGTTCAGATGGATACTTCATACTCCCGTGTATCCTGGAAACAGAGAGATGGATCAGCTGCTGGAGTGGGATGGAGGTGGACAAGACAGCAAAATGGGAGGAGGTATCCACAAGGAAGGGGAAAGACCGTGTGATTTTTTGTTTGTAGTTTTTTGGCCACAGAGTGCAGGATCTTAGTTCCCCGACCAGGGATTGAACCCATGACCCCTGCATTAGACGTGTGGAGTTCCAGTTCACGCTGGAGCCAAATTCTCAGTCCTTTGGTACTAAACTTACCCTTGAAGTTCCCTTAAATTGCCCATTAATATAGAATGGTGTGGTCTCAGATGTAGATCAACACAGCCTGTTTTCTTCCAGCACAGGAGCAAATGGCTTTTCTTTGGTCGAATACCAAATAAATTAACTGATTTAAATACCCCTTGTATAAGAAAAATTTGCCTTTAAATAGCAAAACACACTGTCTATCAAATGATAGAGTCTTGATCACTGGGAGTTTGGCAGCCATGGGGTGTGAATGGGGCCAAATCTGGCCAATGGATATGTTTGGTTCACTCTACAGTATCTTAAAATCACATAAAAATTGAAATTTCTGGATCTTCTTGGACAACTGGAAGATCTGGCAATTGAGCCTAGGTTTCTGCCAGAGGATGAGATGGTTGGGTAGCATCACTGATTCAATGGACATGAACTTGGGCAAACTCCGGGAGATGGTGAAGGACAGGGAAGCCTGGCATGCTGCAGTCTGTGAGGTCACAGAGTCAGACATGACTTGGCAACTGAATAACAATTCCGCCACAAACTGGATGGAGTACAGGTTTTCCAATTAGCCACAGTCCCCACCACTCCCTATTGGCCCACTGACTTGCTTTGTTCACTGATATGGCCTTTGTAGGCAGCTGAGTTTGCAGTTCCCAAGACTGATGTTACAGAGACCTTGAGAGAAGCTAATAGGGTCCTGGGGGAGCAGAGGGATGGGGCACTCTAGGGTAGGGGAAAGGCTCACCCCAGCTTCATACAGTGGATTGCTGAAGTCTGACTCCACCGTGATGGGGCTGTAGGAATGGGAGCCCGAGAAGCCGAAGAGGGATTTTCCCTGTAGCCTGGGAAAGGAAGGAGATAGAGGGGCTTATCGAGAAGTGAGCCCCCAACCCCCCCCTCACCCAGGCTTCTGTGCCAGGCAGGCAGGACGTCTGCCCTGGCCAGCAGCTCCCCGAGTCGGGTACTTACTTGGTGTAGTATATGTAAACGCCACTGCCGAGGATGATGACCAAACCCAGGGGCAGCAGAATGGCCAAGGCGAGGTTCCCACCCTCCAGCTGCCGTGACGGGTCAGTGGTCTGGGTCACTAGAGAGAGGAGGAGAGGCCAGTGAGCTGGCACTGGGCCCACACTGGGCTCGCCCAGCCTCCTGCCCTGGGCCCTGAAACCCTGGGCCCTCACCCCGCCGGGGACCTGGCCTCCTGCCCCCGGCCTCTGCCTTGCCCTCCCAGCTAGGCCAGGCCTGGGTCTCCACTGTGCCCTCACTGACCTTCCAGTTTTCGGTTGTCCAGGAGCTCCTCAAAGGCCACTGCAGGGAGAGGAGGGGGAGGGGACGGGGTCTGAGCCAGGGAGGGAAGGAGGCTGCGGAGAGGGCCGGGAGCCCGGTGGGGCTGGGTTGGACAGCCTGGTTTCTCTGCCCTCTGCTCAACCTAAGCTTGGTCCTTCCCTCAGTGGGGGCAGGGCCTTGGTCCTCCTTCTCCAGAACCCTGGGGAGTCTAAACCTCCCAGGTCTGTAGAATTTGTCAAAAATAGGGAAACTGAGACCAGTCCAGAGGGCAAGGGACTGCCAAACCAAAGCCCCCGGTCCTACTTCCCTTAGGATGAGTCCATGACCTTGAACTTTCCCAGGGCTTGTGGAGCTACCTCTGAGGATGAGAGCCCATGGGAGGTGAACGGGGAACTCAGCAGGGTCTCGAATGTGCTACCTGACTTTCCCCATCCTGTCACATCCCAGACACTGCTATGCCCCTCTCTGCCCTGTCTGCCCAGGCACCTTTGCAGAGTGGAGGCTGGCTGGTCCACTGGGAGGGGTGGCCGGGCACACAGGTGATGGTGACCTCGCCGATGAGCTCAAAGCCCTCATAGCAGAAGAAGCGCAGAGACTCGCCCGCCTGGTAGTGATGCTTGTATAGTGTCTGGTAGCCGTTCTCGGGCACCCCAGGGTTCAGGCACGGCTCGTACTTCACTGCGGGGAAGAGGTCAGCCATGGGCCAGCTGCACTGTGAACAGGCCACCCAGCCACCTGTCCCAGCGTGTCCCCAGACTCACAGGCGCACTTGGGGACCCGGTCGCTCCACTTGGGCGTGCCCGTGTCCCGGCTGTAGCAGGTGAGCACGGCTGCCCCCTCCAGGCTGTACCCGGGCAGACAGCGGTATTGGACATGGGAGCCAACCGGGAAGCCGGCATCCGAGGTGGTGCGGTGCCCATTGGTGATCTCACCCGGGTCGGCACAAGTCATGACTGTTGGCAAGAGGGCAGAGTCAGGGGGAGCTGGGGCCTTCAAACATCACCTAGAAGCTGAGAGCTGGGGAAGCCCTGAGCTGTGGGCCATTTCTTCTGGGCAGACCACCCCCACCCCCACCACCTCCCACTCCTTCCTCAGGATGAAGAGAGCAGGAATTGGAAAAACTAAAAACACAATGCATTTTACATATTAGGTTTCCCAGTATTGTTGCCTGGAGAATTCCACGGACAGAGGAGCCTGGGGGGCTACTGTCCATGGGATCGCAGAGTCAGACATGACTGATTGGAGCTGACACTTTTCTTCCAGAAGACCAAGTGTGTGGGGCAACCTGGGCCCCCATCCTGGGGTGAAATTTGAAATAGTGAACCAGTCAGCCAGAGCAAACCAGCTAAATGCCCGCTATGTCAGCCCTGCCTGGCAGATCATCAGCAGAAGAGGGGCCCAGCCCTCCTACTTCCCTCATTCTCAGCCCAG